ATGGGCTTATGCTTCAGCTACCCAATGTACAATGTCTTTTTTGTTTGTATCTAAGAAGATATTGGGGTGAGAAAGTTAAAAAAAAAAAAAGAGCGACAAAAACTTTTAAATTTTGGCTATCGGGTTGTGCTTATTTTTCTCATTTTTATTTTTCTTTTTTTAATCAAATTCATAAAACTATTTACCACCACATACCCATTCCCCATACGATTCATTCAAACATAAATTCCAATTCTAATGATTTGAATTGCACTTTTTTATAGAATTAAAAACCTTCATATTTAAATCTGAAAATTATAGAGACCATTCTATATTACTATTATAAAAATTTATATAAAGCTCCACAATTCATAAAAATTTAAAAGTACAACTCACCTTACACTTTGTGCAACATTCACGGGTCAACATTTAATTAAAATTATTTGCATTTAATTTTGAAATTAATTTTAAATTAAAATTCTAATTTATAAAGATTTTAAAATTAATTTAAACACTGATAAAAATAATCTCATGTACTAATTGAAAATCACGTATACTAAACTACTTAAATATGTATTATTTTTGAACTACTTTCCAAAAATATTCTATATGCACTTTAAAATATTAATTTTTTAATTATTTTGCAAATCCATAAAGGCAAATCCACTTTGGCAGCAAATCCATTTTCCTTGCTCTAAATGGAGATTCATCTGTTCCAAACTAACAAAATGCTTTACAAGACATCCTAACCAGCATTTCTAAAATTTTGGAAAAGAAAATTTTTGGCCAACCAAAGCTAAAGACTTATTTTTTTGTTTAAAGAATTGTTATAAAAGAAAATTCCACTCATAAACAATTTATAAACAAAAGGAAAAGTAAGAAAAGAAAATGCATTTTGTTCATCATAGTAGTAACACTGAGAAAACAACTAACTAGAGAGAGAGAGAGAGAGAGAGAGAGAGAGAGAACTATATATAGTAACTACAATATCATAACTTGATGAAAAATTACCTTGTAAATTATTATGATCAAGATATAGCTCTTGAAGCATATCCAATTTTCCCATATCTTCTGGTATATCACCTACAAAAAAAAAAATGCTTAGAGATCTATAATTCAAATTGTTCACAGATATATCTATTGAGAATGGTTCCCACGTATGTGATAAAGACATAAGAAATATGGCTTAATCCTACAAGTGTCCATGTATGATGAATCATTTTTATCAAATCTAACTTGTAGACCCTTATTTCCACTCGTGGGCCCATGTATATTTATATATATGATGATATAGCACCTGAATGAGCTTCTCTTTTCCTCATATGTATTTTACATCAAAGATTATGTTTCATATAAATGCCAATACATGCTGCCACATTAATCAATCTATACAGACCATCAACCAACAAAAACAATATTGTAAGATCCAAAGCTGTTGGTTCCTCTTATTCATTAATTAATAAAAAAAACAAATTTTATACTTTAGACATGTTCTTACCATCATCATTTAAAAGAACAATAATTAATGGTTACTTTTAGATAGTCTTTTAAATGTAAGACCAAAATTTCGCAAACATAATACTTTGAACCTACAAGTAAGTAAACAAATGGGACAAAGGTTATGACTCTAAGATGGCAGCTTGCGCAAGTCTATCAACAATTGCCAAAGATGCCATATATTAAGAAAGGAAGATATTGGAAGAATTACAACCAAGTCCCACATAAGGATACAATTAGTCAAAAACCTAACAACACATGCAAATTATAAGCAACATATGGAGCAGTAATTGTTTGAACAATTTTACATGGTTTTAACATAATGACAAAAGGAATTCTGTAAATCCTCTAAAGTGACAAATTGACTAGCTAGCTAAAAGAGGATTACAAAGAACATTCAATTATTTTATCTTACTCAAATAAAAAAAAATTATCATCAATATATCATTGAAAAATAATAGTTACAGAATAATGAAACATTAATTTCCTTAGGGAAATTAATTTGAACAAGGATGTGAACTTTTGCAAAGCTGTTTTCATCAATGCACAAAATGCGTGAACTTTAATAATTCGAATACCCGTATAAAAAGGCAACAAGTTGGAAAGGAAAATCTTCAAAAAATCAACACACGCAGAAAAAATGTGTTTTGGATGTACGCAGCAAACTTACCCACAAAAAAATTATTTTTTCTTTTATTTTTTAAATAGCTAAATAGATTTTGCTGCTAAAATTTATATCATATAAAGTTTATAAATTTTTCGTTTCAACATGTTTGAGGACATGTTCGATAGATTGAAGGAATAGATTAAATCTAGATGAGATTTGTGAGGAATATATATTTAATAATGGGTAAATGAGCAAATTACTTCTAAACTTTAGGTCTAGCAACACTATAGACCCCTGAACTTGTTTATTGTGTAAATTATTTTTTCAACTTTTGAAAACAGTTTAGTATGGCCCTTACTATTAACAAAGTTAACTTTAACTGCTAGTTAATTAAAAAATGATAGAAAATGACCTCTAAAATTATTAAAAAAAAGATCAAATTTTTTTAGTCATTTTCTATTATTTTTTGGGTCCTTGTTTGTAATTTTTGGACCATTTTCTATTATTTTATGTCAACTAATAGTCAAAATTAATTTTTATTAACAATAAGGGGCTAGATTGCACTATTTTTTAAAAGTTGGGAAAACAATTTGCACAATAAATGAGTTCAAGATCTATGGTGCTATCAAATTTAAAGTTTAAGTGGGTAATTATCTCATTTATCCTTTAATAATTAATCATCAATATGAAAAATCTTCTTAATCACGTGGCTTCTGTTCTATATTATATGTAGTTGAGGAATGGACCGCATCACCAATAACAAGCCACAAAAATAACACAAAATTGATGAAAAGTTACATATTATAATTAGTTGAAAGTATGCCTTCTAAATTATTTTTACCAATGTTTTTTGGTATTTGACCAGACAACTTGTTTCTACTTAGGAATATAATTTTAATGTTTGAGAGAGCACCAACTCTTTTGGGGATATCTCGTGCAATATGGTAATGATAAAATGATTATGATGCATTTTTAATTAATAAAAATTATTTTTGAATTTTTTGATAAACTATTTTCTACAAAGTTAAAAATTAAAGTAGGGTGTATGTTTTGAAAATTATAGAGTGGTTTCAGTAATATTAATAAAATAAAAATAAATGGATATTAAAAGTTTCTAACAATATATATCAAAATTCAGAAAACACATTATTCATTAAAAAAATTCACAAAACATTTTGAATAAGATGTTACATATATAAAAAAATTACAATTACAAACAGTACGTAGTTATAATATGAAAAATGGGTGAAAATAGTGTATAATATATATAAACAAATTTACAATTACCAACAACAATTATAATATGAATTACGTACTTTTGTAAAGTTAATATGTTGTTAATACATTTTATATTTATATATTTGTATTTTTAAGTTTTATATTTGCTTTCAAAAAGTTTAGATGAGGTGGGTCCGAGGGTTCACCAGGGTGAGGGAAGGCCTTCAGGCTTAAAGAGAATTCATAGAGTTACTTACACATCACCCACCAACAAGGTATTTATAAGTTTTATATGATTGTACACCATCAATTATCTAATAACATTTCTCTCAAATAATAAAATTAGAAAATTATTTTCAAAAATAAGGATAATAAAAGTTAAAAATGAAAATTCAAATACTACAATTTATGTATATATCTATATATTTCTTTAAAAAAAATTCTCTCGCCCACCTTTGATTCTAATTTCAGGGCCAATTCAAATACAAAATAATGGAGATAGCTTGAAAATATAGTTATATCTAGAAATTGTCTTTTTTTTCATGCCATCTATAAAATTCTTATGAGTGAAGAGCTATCAATTGGATAAATTGATTGCACATTTTAAGATCAGTCATCATATATTTGATTTATTTAAGTGGCAGATCCACATATGATATAGCTTGAACTTGTTCTTTTGGTATTTTATACCAAAGATTAATTTTTGTTCAAAAATAAAGCCCAAGATATGCCATACTGCCACTCTAATCATTCTATAAAGCCCAATCAAAAGTTGGTTCCGTACCCGCTTATTCCTCTTAATTGAAATTCTAATGATGTTTATAGACAATAAGAGCAGAATGCATGGAATGACATATATATATATAGATTAAATATTTTAAAGTATATGACATTTTTATATATCCAACCATCTAATCTAGACTTATATATTTTGGGTTACATAAGTAATAGCATTTTGACGAAACATATTGGCATCTCAGTTCATAATTTCAAGTTGCAAAAGACAAGAAGTAAGAAAAAGAAATGATCTATAGCGAATTAAAATTTGCGTAAAAATTATACCTTGTAAATTATTGGAACCAAGATCTAATTCTTGAAGCGAAATCAAGCTTCCAATGCTTCTTGGTATGTAGTCAAAGAGTTGATTTTGACCCAAATATATGATTCTAAGATTTGTAAGATTGGCAATTTCATTGGGAATATCTCCTGTGTGATCACATTAACAAAAAAACAAAAAAAAAAAAAAAAAGCAGTGATATGAGTGCTTGTGTATAGATTATAGAAAATCATAGAAATATAATCTAACTTTATGGACATGATCATATATGGACAACATGTAGTATATAGATAGAAATCATAAATTTAAAAACCATTAAAAAATCTCTTGCATTATGCGCTGGCTCCAAGAACCCAAGTGAAAAGGACAAAAAACTAATAACAGCATGAAAAATAGTTGTTCCTGACGGTGAAGGGAAAACTGAATGATGTTAATAATACACTATGTTGTGTTGAAAGCATGGTAATGAAGTGTCACAACAAAATTAAAACTCTATACAATTTATAGTTTCATTTATCATTCCTAATCAACATAATCAATATATATATGTTCTTCCCTTTCCAACAAAATCAACGTTGAATAAGAGATTGAATATAACTTATCCCAAGACACACTAACACCAACAAAAATATTTGAAATGATTTGGGAAAAAATATGAATTTACCCAATATAATGAAAGACATACCTATTAAAGAGTTGTATGACAAAGACATAAGCTCAAGTGAGGATAAGCCAGAAATAGTTGGAGGTATTTTTCCTGAAAGATTGTTCCCTGCTATGCGTAAAATCTTCAAGTGCTGAAGCCTTCCAATAGCAAGTGGAATAGATCCATGGATGAAATTATCATTCCAATCCAACATCTCTAACTTTGACAAATTTGATACACTTGGAGGAATAACACCTTTAAAACTATTATTACGAAAAATTATTTGCTGAAGAGAAAATAGACTTCCAATCCAAGCTGGAATTTTCCCATGAAATTCATTAGAGCTCAAATTGAGAATTTTCAACTTATGTAACTGCAGCAACTCCTTTGGTAACTCACCATGAAAGTTGTTACTATGAAGGTCAAGTTCAACAAGGGAGGACAAATTCCCCACTTGTGAAGGTAAGGTACCCTTGAGACTCGTGTCAGCAAGATTCAATACACTTACTCTCTCGCCGTTAGCATCACAAGTAACCCCAACCCAATTGCAAATGAAAGAAGAGTTGGACCAATTAGCCAAGTGATTGAATGGGTCTCCCACAGAATTTTTGAAAGCAAGAAGTGCTAATTCATCGTTTTTGGTGAAATTGGTTTGACATAAAGTTGGGGAGATGATGAGATAGCAAAGTATTGTGAACATCGAGAAGAAAAAATGAAACCAAAGGTTGGCCATGTTGGATTGATTTAAGGCTTATAAGATTGACGAGAACGATGAAGAAGGTCATGCTGTATATATATATGCCTCAAGGTTGATAAGCACTGCTCATAATGATAATAAAAGCCGAATAAAATGTGAACCTAATAAAAGCATTTATATTTTGTGGTGGGAAAAAAGTGTACTACTCGAATTCTTCTCAAAATAATTAAATAATGTGCCAACTAGTCAAATTCTAACAAAGAAACAATATTGTGCCATTTTTTCCATGGTGCGGTGGGTATTCGAGTTGACTTGGTTTGACCAAGAAAAATATGTAGACAAATAAAAAAAAAATTGTCACAACCCATATGACTTAGCTTGTTTTTCTCTTGAGAAGAGAGACAAGATAATATCTGCCTTACGTGCTAAGTGAGAATGGAAATAAAATAGAAAGAGGATGGAGAGGATCTGTTTCATCATCGAGCTTTTGGTTTGATAGTAGAGACATGTTGGACCTACAACTAAGACGACGCGAAGATAAGAAATGGCAAAGCGAATAGGTTTGGCTATCGAAATAATAAAATGAAGGGGGGCTGGCCTGCTAGGGAAGATGAAGAGGTTCACATCGGTTCCTTTCATCACAATAGGAGTGAAAAATCAATCAGATTTCTTATTATTTTCCAAAATGTCACCGCCTCTTCTTTTTACACTTGTTTCTTTTTAACCGGCATGAAATGTTGATCTAAAATCATATATTTGTAGTAGTATTCACTGAACCTCAATATTCTGAATACTATTATTATTGTGCCATTTTAACATGCATATGGATTGATTGGCTTAAAAATTTTCACCGTTAGTGAGTTGTGAAAATACTCAGCACAATCTCATTTATAGAACATAATAATTTTGCTATCAATGAAATAAAATTAATATATATGCATGGCGTACTTACCTTCAAGCTATATAAAATCATGTTTAGTAAAAAAATAATCTATAATTCATTTTTTTGATAAAATCTATAATTCATTTTTAAATCAACTATATAGTTTATTTGCAAGAGAAATAAAATGGGGAAATGACATTAAAAGAACCAACAGCTTCAATTAAGCTTAAACAAGGACCAAAAGATTTGGAAATGAAAAATAAGGACCAAAGATCCTTTAGTAAGTTGGTCTAAAAATTTGCTACTTTCATCCCCATAATTTGCAATCATCAGAAGAAGAATTAGATAATAAAATTTGCTAATTTAAACAACTTCCAAGTAATGAAGTATAAATATTTTAATTAATAAGATATTAAAAATATAACATTTTTAATTACTTACCGGTGTTTTTGCTGTCAACGATATAATTCAATAATAAACTAGTAGATAGCCGGTTAATGTGGATGGTTAAAATGATATTTTAGTATTTTACATAAGGAAAAAAATAACATTGGTTCCTTTGTAATTTAGTTTGTAATTTAGAAGATTTAATTGATATTAATTCTAATAGGATACTTGTTTGTATTTTTTTAATATTTATTAATTTTTTAAAATATTCAAATTATTAATTGTCAAAGTTAACATTTATTAATAATAGGGACAACATTGCACTAATTTTATATGTTGAATAGGACATTGCACCACAAAAAGTTAGGATATCATCATCATATACTCCCTGGGTGAATGGTTGATAGTTAAAATATGATTTAACCTAATAAAAATCAATTTGATCGGGCGCTATTAATGGAAGGAAAAATGTTACTATATTTTTATTATTATATATATATATTGATATATATACACGGACTTATGATATAATTACAAAACGAAGTCCATAAAACATAGCCCAAGAAAATTACGTACCACGGCTTAAAAAGGATTTCAAAAAAATTTATTTAATTTGTCGATCTTAAATAAAAAATATACCAAAAAAATAAATCAAAAAATAACAGCTAGACATATCATAAGATAAACAATTTGTTCCATTATTAGGGGACATAGATATTTTCCTTTATATTTATCACTGATTAGATCTAATGAGCTCCACTCACCCATGGGGTGTCGGTATTTTCATTTTCCCATGAAAAGATAGTCCAAGAAGAAAATTTGAAAAATATGTGAGAAATTCCGAATGAAGCGTAATGTGCATAATTACCCTTGAAAGTAGAAACCATTTTTCAAGCGAAAAATTCCTTTGAGTGAATTCCATGAGAAATTGTTGAAAAATTGGGAAAAAAAAGTATTAAGAAAAATATATGAACATTTTGGATTAAGCGTACTATCTTCTCTTCGGTTAGCTTAATGACATCAATATGCATCTCGCCACCTTGGTTCTCTTCCCACTTCCAATAAAATCATAGGAAAAATTAAATTGTTTGTTTCAAGTTTTGAAATAGGCCTTTATAGTTTATACTTTCAGAAACAATTGCATGAAGTGTTTTGTGTGGTCAAATATGTTAGTCGCTTAAAGTCCACTTTTCACTTCATTTTTTTTTACTTCCCTTATTAACTGACAAAAAAATTCAAAATAACCAATATAAAAAGTTCTTCCTACAGTAGTGTATGTTTTTTTTTTCAGGCACATAAATTATTAGTTAAAAAATTGACTTGTAAAATGGTGTGTGTAAAATTGTATAATAATAATAATAATCTCACGTTATTTTGATCAAAACTACATTTTGACCAAATCCAACTAAACAAACACATACCATTTCATTTCTTTGTTATTACGAGAGCCTTTGGTTTTACAAACCAATAAATGGGCTTAGCTGTAATGTCCCTAGAAAAGTGATTGGAATTAGGTTAATTAACATTATATGAATGTAATGATGAAGCGTACAAGAAACTCTTTACCCGCATTTACAATGTTGGGGAAGATATTGGCGCATTTAATTATCAACTTGTTGGAGAAGATACAAGACACACCATATTATTGCCCCGCTTCCTCTATGCCAAGGACATATGAGTTACTTGACTTGGAAATGCAACACTCTTTGATTATAAAATCAAATTTATTCCACAATAAAGATATACGGATTGTCTTGACTAGGAAAAATTATGTATAAAGTATGAATTTTCACCATTCATGACTTCTTTTTCTCTTTGGCCATGTTAATGAGTTATGTTAAAAAAAGAAACAGAAAAAAGAAACCACCAATTCATAGAACCTCCACATTATCAATGAAATAACTTAAAACAAATATATAAATTATTTTTATTCCATTCAGCTATAATTGTGTAATTTTCTTTACACAATGACTATATGAATACACTAACAAAAAGATAACTACCATTTATAATTTTTTCTCTTAAAACAAAATAGATGGGAGGTCAGTCATCAATGTATCTTAAAGATAAATTCAAATATAATTACAAATAGGACTTTACAATATAGCGTGGAACAACTTTGATGAATTTGAAATAAGATATAACAGCGCTTATACATATTGATGTCAATAACAAGTCCTAGGAAATGAATTAAGAATAATAATAATACTAATAACAACAATAGAAAAGTTACAAATATAAAAGAGTTGTGAACTTAGTCTATAGCGTTGAATCTATACCCAGTCAATTATGAATTAATGATAATTAATGGATGAATGTGAAAAGGATAATTAATTGAACATGCTAATAAAACATAATTTCAGAATTTTTTTGCAAAGTATTTTCAGAATATTATTAATTAAAATATTATTACCTGAATTTTTTTTGGCCAATCATAAAATAATTATTTTTGGCTAATTTGTATGCAAAATAATTAACATTCACCTTACCTCATCGGTAATAACATAAAATATTATTTTCAAGGAAGACTATATTATTGTGCCCTTTCTACATGCTAGTAGCGATATATGAGTTGACTTGATTTGGTATGTAAGCAGAAAAATGATATAAGATTCTTTTTCTTCGACTATACATCAATAAGCATTGTAATGTATAGGAAACTTTCTCACTTATAGAACCTCAACAGATTTGGTTATCATTTAAAATGACAATATAATATACCTATAAAATATTGAATTGAAAAATTATTTTGATGTAAAAGTATTTCATTGTTAATTTAATTTTGGCTAATTTTTTAAGCAACAAGATTTATTTTCTTCTAATTATAAAAATCAAAATATACAATGATAATTGTTAGTGAGTGACATTTGACATTGATCATTGTGTCATTTGTTCAACATTAGATATATAAGCTGTATTTTTTATCCGTTTATTTTTGTAAAAGATATATGAGCTTGAATAAGAAAATTATGAACATCAGACATATTTCCATATGCCCCACCCACCATTGGCAACTTTTTTAAATTAGTGAATTGAGAAAAAAGAAAACAACCCAATTTATAAAACCTTACAACCACGTTTTGTACCAGGCCTCGTGATAGCATTTGAAGTGCATTTTATGCCAAACACCTGACAAGGATTAGCGGAGGTTAGTCCATGTGTCAATTTGTCATGTCCCATCAAAAACCCTTGACTGGCACAAAGTACAGGTAAACCTCTCTTTATAAGCCTAATCAATTTAAATTTTTCTCATTACACTTGATAAAAATCGACTTTACTAATGTAATGTAAATTAAATTATAATATTCATTCATGAATGTCTGTAAAAATTTCAGTATAAACTCCTTCAAGAGTTGGATTATTATTTATTATTATTTTCTTACAAATAAAAATTCTTAGGAAAATTAATTTTATATGTTAAAGAATTGTTTTTATATGTTTTTTCTAGTCTATTTTTTTACTTGATACATAAAAAAATTGATTTTACAACTTACAACACTCACATTATTTTTCTTTTGATCAAATAATTCAACTGATCAAACACATATTCATTAATTTCTTTGTTATTATGAAAGACTTTGATTCAACAAACCAATAAATAGGCTTGGCTGTGATGTCACTAGAGAAAGTGATTGAAATTAGGTTAATTAACATTATGTGAATGTAATGATGAAGCATACAAGAAACTCGTAACCCTCATTTACAATGTTGGAGAACATATTGGCGCATTTATCAACTTGTTGGAGAAGATCCAATGACCACAGATTAT